AAATCGACTATGGATGACCGGCAGAACAATTTAGCTGAAACAGAAACCCCATGGAGCTCGCTTCAAATATTGGTGACACTCGACAACTCTATCAAATTATCCCAAAAGTTAATGGTAAGCCTCTGTTCGCTATGTGAATGGTGCCCATTTCCGGCGCCTGTTAACTGACCGGCTTAGACAATGACTGGGGCCTGGGAATGGAAAGAGAGAGTGAGATCGATGAATCAGTGCATTTTCCTCACTATAAACAATCTGACGCGCTTGAAGCTATCACGATGCGCTAAAAGCCGTGACTTGGAAGGTTGTCCACTGACGGGATAACTTGGACCTCGCAGTCGGCCCAGTGTTGTGCGTTTGTGTGGGGCGACCGACCGGCGATCTAGAAGTCAGGCTGCAATGGCTCCTTCTTAATGCGGCCTTATGGCACTTCCACTCTGTGGGATCCGCGCCAGGTATGACGGCACGCTTAGGGGCGGCTTCGGCCACGCCAATCCCTCTTTGTTTTTGGTTAAAATCCGGGTCATTTTCTGTGTGAACCAGGGGGTATGGAGTGGAGCGCGAAGGTGCGGGCTCGACCGTGCCATCCACCTGCGCCCTCCCCCCCCCTCCGGTCTTCTTGACTCTGTCTTTACACCGGGTCCAGGTGGCGGAGGTGAAAGTGCGTCAGATTCTGCGCGAGTATGCATTCACTATAAACTAAATCATGTGCAAGTCACCGCGCCTGCTTCAATTTGTTGCGGAGCAGACGGTGGACATCGTCGAAAATAACACTCGAGCTATCGGGCTTTTGTGCTGACAACTCTGCCAGGTTTGATTGGCAGCGTGATCACTTCGAACATCTCAAATTTGATAAACAGCCCATTACATCCTAGCTTTTCTCTAACAGAATTTTATTCCTCTCCAGTCTTTGCAGTGTCGTGCGGCCCCCTTCTGAGGGAGAAGCTGCGGATGCAATACAGAGGCTGAACAACAATAGGGCGCCCCGAGAGGACGATATTACCGTTGAAATCTATAGGTCTTATATCGACATTCTGGCGTCCTGGCTCCATGAGATGATTGGGCAAGCGTGGTGAGATGAGGTGGTTCCTAATGACCGGGACTAGGACATCCTTGGGCCTGTCCTCAAAAAGGGATATAAGGCAAAGTGCGAGAACTAACGCGGTATAAGCCTCGTCCATTCTGCTAAAAAGATCTTCACTGTTGTACCCGGACGATGTCAGTCTGTGCACGACTCTGAGGTGAGGTTCAACCAAGACGGATTGATAGCTGGGCGTGGGTGCGCAGGCCAGGCATTAACATTGAGGCGCGTTCTATAATTCTGTCATGGCCACCAGCAACCTAGGGCGGTCTACGTTGTTGGCTATGGAATATGGAATCCAAGCGTGGCGCCCGTGGCTAAAAAAGACAATAAGTTGCTAGAAAGAGTTCAGAGGAGAGCGACAAAAGTTGTGAAAGGCCACAGGACTTTACCTTACAACTGCCGACATAGTGAACTTAAACTCTTTCCTCTTGAGTACAGGCAGGTTCGAGGTGATCTTATACAGGGCTATCGGATATTGAGGAACCGGGACTGTGCCCTACACCTGGACGATTTCTTCACCCTGGCCACAACAACAAACCTGCGTGGGAAATCCCTAAAACTTAGAGGATCCCGATGCCGCCTGGACGTTCGAAGATTCTGTTTTTCACAGCGAGTCGTCGGTGTCTGGAACGGGCTTCCCGCGGACGTAATAATGGCGGATACCACGTAGACGTTCAAGCAAAGACTAGATGTATATTTGCTTTGACAATACCGCTTGTCTGGACAGAACAGCTCTGTGGTGCCAAACCAACGCCTTGCATACACCTACCGCTAATGAGGATGACTGTCATTGCATTTTACCGATATCATCTACAACTGAATGTGTCCGAGTTTCGGTTCTGCATTTTCAATGAAAAATACTCTGTTAAGTGTATATATTACTGACAACATTTTAGTACTGTGTTTATTTAAAGTTACAAATTGCATGTACAGTTTACAAAAGGGTTTTCAAAGGCATTGCCTATTACCCTTAAAATATACTGACCTATACTGACACCCCAACGCGAGTTCTAGTACATAACAATCTCTCCCAATCGCTCGATATCCGACCTGGTGTTCAATAAGGTTGCGTCCTGTCGCCCATTCTGTTTAATTACGCCAGTGACTGGATTTTCGGAGGAGCTCTACACGGTTTTGAAGGCATGGAGTCCGCACCCAAACGCCAGTTGACTGATCTAGACTACGCCGATAGTATCAGCTTCCTGGCCCCAGCTTTGGTAATTTAGTCTGTAGTATCACGGGTGAAAGAAGTCGCTACTTTGGTCGGTTTATGCGTAGACG